GTAACATGCTGAACTCTGAATATGCCAGTCTTGAGCGGAATGAAGACGTCGCCGACCATGCACCGAACCTCATCTGTCACGTTCACGTCTATGACATGGACTCCAGTCTGGAGGACGTTTTCTGTGACATCGATTCTCCTCAGCGTCACTTTGATCTTCGTGAAGTCAGCACAGAAAACACCGCCCAGCGCAGAAAGATATTTGAACTCTTGAGTACCGTTTCACTTGACAGAGAGGAATCGCCTAGCTATCTTGTTCGGATCCGCTGTGCCGACGGCCGTACCTCAGATCGTCTGATTGGCCAAAGCCAGATTCGGATAATTTTAAGAGACGTCAACGACAATGGGCCCGTCTTCCAGAGAAGTCAGTACTTTGGGATTGTGCCTGAAAATGAAATGAATGCCATTGTTGATTTTCGCGATTCCTTCTCGAAATTTGGCGGCGATGTTAAATCGATTCGACCGGGGGCTCCGCTTCATATTCACGCCACGGATTTAGACGTTGGTCAGAACGCGATGATCATTTACTCGCTTGCGGACGTGTACGAAAATGGCAGTAATAAAGATGCAAGTTCACAGATATCCGAGAAGCTTACAAGGGACTTCGAATTCTTTTACATAGACAGACTAACTGGTCAACTAAAAACACGTGTCGCTTTGGATTTTGAAAAAAAGTCTGTTTTCACTTTCCTTGTCATAGCCGCGGATCAACCCTTGGATCCGACGCAAGCCCTCTCATCTACGGCAAAGGTTACGGTCTATGTAAGTTTATGAAATTAGAGGTGTTGTGGCAACTTATGCAAAAATGGTTTAATAGCTAGAAACAAATGAATCGAATTTCCGGTTACTAATTTATAAAATTACCTTACCATCAAAACGTGGCCTCGTGAACGATATATTTTGTGCGATGCGAGATTATTTGAGGGTTTCCTGTTCAGGTCACTTTTACGGTAACATTACATTCCAAGCAATTTTTTTCCAAGTTGCCCACACGGCACGTTCATCTTCTGTATATAAGTGTTTGCGGATCGGACACAGTTGGGGAAACTTACAAACTAAGCAGTAAATCGTCATCAAATTTAGGTGGATTTGAAAGTCTCAAAATGAAATAAGCTTTCTCAAAAAATGATTGACTCAATCATTTGAATACCACAGCAGGCCCTTTGAAAAAATTTAGCTAATACTCTGAATAATGAAACCTACAACATCCTGCTGAGAACCTCATTGAATGTATCTGAGTGCATGATTCTTCCGCTCAAATGCGTTCATTTGTCTTCTTCTGCTGGAAATGAGTCTCTTGACGGAGAAAAGCACAATGGCTCTGCTGGCTTTTTACTTTAGATTAGTTCGTTTCCGATGTCTTCAAAATTAACGACCGTATAGATTAGATTCGCTTACTGAAATTTGAAACAATTTTCTCACAAATTTTGAAGCCTTCGTGCATTAACAGTATAATGTGGGGGTACGTTAAAGCGCCCGAAATTCTAAAATTAGCTGAGGATTCAACGGAAAATTATTCAATTAACATTGTATCAGCAGGGTATTCCACTGCACAGAACAGAAACTAGGACATTAATTTTGGAGTTATAAGGTATTTAGCGTAAAATGACTCGTGAGGCAAAAAAACAATATTTTGCCATCTACTTAAACGCCAAAAAATGAAATCTAAGACTCGTGCTCAAGTTTCAGTGCCACAGAAATAATTGCGAAAGCCTTGCTAGTAACCTTATGAATGGCCATATGTATTAAACAGGAAAAAATACAGAGCATAATCTTAAATTCCTATATGGAATTCTGTAACGTAGCCAAACAACTGAAATGATTATAAACACTACAACCTCGCATGATGAGGAAAGTTTTTTCGTCTACAGTCTTTGCGCAATTGCATAGGTGATGAAGATTTGTGTTATGTAACTTGCTTGCACATAGCGGTGCTTCTCGATCTCAAATCAATTTGTTGTCTTGCTTGTGAACATTTTTGAGTAAGTAGTAATCTTGCTGCGTCCTGGGTTGCCTGGCTCGGACGCAAAATGGGCCTTACAATCATTTCGAAGAATTTGAAAAGCAATCTTATTTCAACATTTTAACTGGTCGTACAATTAGGCAACATCTGAAGACTGTATAAACAGCAAAATTAAATGGATCCGTAAATTTCCAGAGGGCTCTTCAGTTGCCACCCCTCATTGCATAACGGGAATGAACGTCAGA